AGTCCTGTAATTTTGGGTTTCTTTGGTATGGGGATGATGGTGGAGCGTTTGAAGCATGAAGGGACTTTGCACAGCTCCAGTGATCTGTTGAAGATCTGTGTGAAGATGGGGGCCAGCTGGTCAGCACAGGTTTTCAGACAGGCTGGTGTCACACAATCTGTGCCTGGTGCTTTTTTCCTTTTCTGCTTCCGGAAGACCTGGCGCACCTCGTCTTCGCTGATCTGAATTGCAGGTGTGGGGGAGAGGGGGGTTGCTGGAGGTGTGAATGGTTGTGTGGAGAGGTGTTCAGGGTGGGTGTGGGGTGTTTTTTCAAACCTGCAGTAGAACTCATTCAGATCGTCTGCCAGTTGTTGATTCTCCACAGTGTTGGTGGATGGTGTCTTGTAGTTGGTCATTTCTTTCAGACTTTTCCACACTGATTCTGAGTCGCTGGAAGTGAACTGAGTCCTTAGTTTTTCAGAATAATTCATTTTTGCCACTCTCATCTCCTTTTCCAGTGTGTATTTGGCCTGTTTATACAAGACATTGTCCCCCTTCCTGTAAGCATCTTCTTTGGCCTGACGGAGCTGTCTGAGTTTTGCAGTGAACCATGGTTTATCGTTGTTGTAAGTTAGATGAGTCCTGGTAGGAATGCACATGTCTTCACAGAAACTGCCCCCCTTCACAGAAACTGCCTACTTATTCCTTATGGGAATAAGTACATTATTAGTGTTGGATTTAGAAAAATCATTGTAATTACGAATACCATAGTAAAAGTTATTATTTACACGTTTAAGATTGAATTTCAGGTTGGATTTTTTGGGGTGAATGTTAATTTTTATTTAATGTTTTATTTAATTAGTTACATTGCATTTATGTTAATACAGCATTAGTTAACAAATAATGCATAATGAATACATAATACTGTTGTTCATTATGTTGTTTTAGATGTAATGTTTTATTTTTATATATATTTTATTTTAATTTACTGTATAGTCTTTAACTTCATGACTACATTTAAAAATGCATTTATAGGGAATAAAGTCATAACAGACTTTTATTTTGGTATATTGTTTTGTAACAAAGAATGTGTATATTTATTAATACAGCAATAGAAGTTGTAGAAAAAAAATACATGTAAAAATAATTTTAAATTTATTATTTTATTTAGGTACATTTTAGGTATTGGGCTTAGATAAATGCTTGCAATAAGATATAGTAAAAGTCATTATTTACACGTTACACGTTGGTTGATTTGATGCCGTTTGGTGAATGTATCTTTTTTTCTCAAATATTCATGTCATGTTGATTTTTGGGGTGAATGCTTAGTGATTTTTTCTTAATTTTTATGTAGCATTGTGGTTTCATTCCTTTGCTTATGTTTGTGTGCTTCTTATTCAGATCCCGAACCTGGCTGAAGGAGTCCGCATCCACGGCCAGAAGGTGACGGAGGCTCTTCGTCCATTTCACGAGCGTTTGGAGGCGTGTTTCAAACAGCTCAAAGAGAAGGTGGAGAAGCAGTACGGCGTCAGAACACTAGTGAGTCCCAACAGTCACTTTCCAAACAAACTGAGCCTGAATCATCATGCATCACGCCTTCATCATTCACTCAGCCATAAACATCAGCCTTCATGCATTCATCTGTCATCATTCACGGATGTTGTTCATCACAGCTCGCTTGCATGCATCACATTGCCTCAGGATGGACTCTCACCTCACAATACAAACTGATCACTATGAACTATTTACACATATTCTCTTTCTGATTTGTGTGTTGCATGTTTGTCTGCATTTGTCTTTGTTGGATCTTGGTTTCCTCTCTTGGTTTCTTCCTCACTATCTTGGGACCTTGTTTTGACTTGCTCGTTGGGGAATATAATGCATTATTATTTAAATATGCTGCTTTATAAAGATAAGCTGCTTTAGAATATATACTGTGAAAAGCACTACAGAAATTTTGAACTGAATAAAGTCATGGCAGCTGTTCGATGATTACGGGCATTGTACAATTGCAGTTTTAAATGCTCTGGAAGAATCTTGCAAATTTTTCAAAGTGAACTATAAAAATCCTAACAGTCACTCATAGTATTATCAGGCTGAATACTTTTTTTTGTCCGCTACAGCATGATAATATACATGCAAAAATAAGCACTTTTTAAAAATCTTTAACAAGTTTCTGTTCAAAATTAAGTCATTAATTATTTTTAATAATATGAAAAAAATGACACTATTTTGGTGAGAAATTTTTTTTGGAATAAAAAAAATAAAGATAATTGCGACTTTTTATTTCATTATATGATTTTTTATTATTATTAATATTATTAAGATTCCTCTTTTAATCAGTGGTATTATGTTGTTAATCAAACTGTGGTAGGTTTCTCATCAAAATTGTCTTCTGTATAAGCCTGGTAATTTTTTGTAACACCTGTCACCAACTTAATCATGCAGTTCATCAGTGCTGTTATTGGGACTCGTTACCTTTTAATTAGGTCTAACAGCGCTGACAAAAGAGCACACCAGTCACTGCTACATTTAATTTACTTAACAAAAACACCCTTTCATTATTATTTAGGATGACCTTGTATGAAGTGAGAAAGATTACTTATTAAATACAGATTACTTAAAGATTAGTTATTAAATACAGCATAGTTTTAATATATGATTGATGAGTCTCATTTTCATAAACGTTTTTTTTTTAAATGTTCTTGCAATTGTACAGTTTAAAACATCTCATCTTTTTCCTTATTCACATCTGGTTGCTGTGGAAAATCATGTGTGTAGCACAAACAAATAGATTTTTAATTGTATTAATGGTATTGATAATTAAATATTGATATATTAAATATTGTTTTCAATGATGATTTGTCTTGCTTTTTGCAGAGCATATATGTAATATATATATATATGCATTTTTACTGCATTTGGTGCCAAAAACCTTAACTTACATGAATGCAGTCTGGCATTACATTGTCTTAAGTGAAAAAAAAAAACGTAGAGTTTCCTCAGCTGTATTTTGAGATGCACAGGGTCAATGTGAGTCTTTGTAACCGTGGGAAAGACGTTCCCAAACACACTGTACAGAATCGCGCCTCTCCTCCGGTCCGAACAGACGTGCTGAGATCCCTGACAGGAGAATGCTGGGAGTCCTTAGGAGGGAATGAGAGATGGGGACAAAAGAGTGCGGCAGACAGGTAGAGAAAGCGAGCAAACGTGTGAGAGAGATAGACAGATAGTTGCTGTAGCTGGCAGATATTGATCGCCGCGCTCTGCGAAGGTGCTAGAATTGGCAGCGAAGTGTGTGAAAGACTGAGAACGTGATCTGTGCTGCATATCTGTTTCAAGGACAGCTCAGGGCTGTGTGACCGAGAGGAGGAGGATAAGGAAGATATGAGTGATTCATATATTCACACATATATGAGATTCACACAAACAAAGAGGGTCACATGAAAACAAGCAATTGGACTAAGCAAAAACATACTCACAATATGAGTTTGGCCTTTGCAGCAGGGATCTACTATTATATTGCTGTCTGTCTAGTCAGTGAATGGTCTGAACTCTTAAGGGCATCTGAAAATGAGTAAATTAACATATATTGTTACTCATTTCACGTGGACAGAGATTAGGCAATCACAACACAGTGTCAGAGAGAGGGGAAAATGCTCGTCAAAACTTAATTATGACTATTTTTGGTGCAAGAAAGTGTTGAATAAGGCCTCTTTTAAAGAACTGAATGTCGTGATATGTTCGTGTGTGTTTCAGCCTCCCACGTCGAACGAGCGGTGGGGCAGTCGGCCGCGTTCAATGGTTCGGTCCTTCACCATGCCGTCATCTCAGAGGCCGCTGTCTGTCGCATCTGTGACGTCCATATCATCAGAAAACTCTCCCTCCAGACCGGGATCAGACGGGTAAACACACACACACACACCATCCAGACTAGTGCTAGAGCAATATATCTGCAGATATTTCACCTTTCTTTCTTTCTTTTTTTCTTTCTTTCTTTCTTTATACTGTTTATACATAATTTTTTGGAAAAAAATAAATGCTTTTATTTAGCAAGGATGCATTAAATTGATCAAAACTGACAGTACAGACATTTATAATATTACAAAAGATTTCTATTGCAAATAAATGCTGTTTTTTATTTTATATTCATCAAAGATTCCTGAAAAAAAGTCACCGTTTCTACAAAAATATTAAGCAGCACAATTGTTTTTAACATTGATAATAATCAGAAATGTTTCTTGAGCAGCAAATCAGCATATTAGAATGATTTCTGAAGGATCACGTGACACTGAAGACTGGAATAATGATGCTTTTCATCTCAGCTTTTCATCTCAGGAATAAATTATATTTTAACAGAGATTCAAATAGAAAACACTTATTTTAAAATGTAATAATATCAGTACTGTTAAACAGTAGCATACACACATAGTATTTAATATTTATATTAAATAATGTTTAATGAAAAATATATGAAATATATTTTATGACATGTTAAAAGCTCAAAGAATTGTAATTTTCTTTCTATATATATATATATATATATATGTGTGTGTGTGTGTGTGTGTTTGTATATTAATTTTGTTTTTATTTTACTATTGCAAATGAAAAGATTTTTTGTATAGAACTTGTTTAATGAGAGAACTAAATGTAAATGTTTAATCAAAAATATATAAAGTATATTTTTGAAGTATATTACAAATGCAACAAATTTTATTTTAAAATTATATTCATATTTATATATCTCAAATAAGATGTAAATAGTTTAATTGTTAATTTAGCTAATAAGTACAAATAGTGATGGAATATAAATCTCTCTTGATATCAGCATCAGCCATTGAAAAAGCTGTATTAGTGAGCACTGATCCACTATTTTCTTCTTATAGCCGTTGGAGGACTAGTACAGAACATTTCCTCGGTTAGAGTGACTTTTCTGATTTCCGTAATGCAGCTTTTTGTCATTTCCATCTCGTCTCTCTGTAGGCGGTCTGTTCCCATTCACACACTTACAGCCGTAATGCACCGAATCACCTGCTGATTCTCCAAGAAGATCATCTTATTGCACTTTGAGAAGTTCCTTCAGTTCAGACAGAATCAGCTGATGCAGTCAGATGGGTTTATATGTGTAAAATAAACATGAATTCACTTGAACTGCGCTTTACTCGGTCTCTTTACCCTGTCAGGTTGGTGGCAGTGTAGCGCGGCGGACACACAGATGCCAGCCAGAAGCATTAATCAGTGTGTGTTTGAAGAAAGTGATTCTATCAGCGATACCCTCCGCTGCTGTTTAATTGTGAAGGGCAGCACTTCACGAGAGCTTTCATTTGATTACTTAATCCAGCTCATTAAAGCGCTTTGATTCGTTTGAGCCCGAGATTCTGATTCTGATTATGAGATCCAGAGATTCTGCTTCGCTTTTTCGTTGCTTCGCACTTTACAAAACTGCCTGCGAGTCTCAATATTGGCCAGGTCAGCAGATATGAAACACACTCTCACACACACTTTAATGCAGAGATATTCGCTTCTACAGGAGCGTGTTTGCATGGATGATGTACGGTTTCTCTCCAGTTTTTAAGAAACTAATTTGTTCTGAGCTTTGGACCTGAAATCCAATAGTGATGATGACACAGTTTTTCTGTCTGGGTTCACGTACGTTTGTGCTAACAAAAATACTTACTGTGGTTTTCTTTTACTTTATGAAACGGTGATTTATTAAACACTGTTATTGCAGATGTTGTTGATTTAAATGTTATTTGGGTATCATTAGCTTGTTGGCACAATGTTTTCTCAAAAATACGAAATTGATTTATGTATGTTGATGCATCAGTTAGACTGGGTTAAATCATAAACAAAGCACTGTATGTTATTTTTAACAGCTTAATTTATAGCTATATATATATATTATATTCCAGCAATTACAGCAAACTAAGGACTTTCAAGAACTTGTTTTAATGGGAAAAATATATAAATATTTTATGAAAAACATAAAATAAAACATACAAAAAAAAAATTTTTTTTTTTTTTCATTTTTGATTTTTTTTTAACGTTTTAAGCACTTTTAATATTTTCATATTAATTAAAATATTAATTTAATTAATAATATTTTAATACTTTTAATTTTAAAAGTAAATTCAGAAAATGTGTTTAAAGAAAATATAAATGTTCAATTAAAAATATGTAAAATATATTTCAGGCATATATTAAAAATGCAAAAAAAAATATTTCTGTATTTGTATCCATCTTAAAAATGCAAGTATTTTTATTTTAATGTTTTTATTATTATTTTTCATTGATTGATTGTGGAGAGGCCTGTGAAAATGTAAATATGAACAGCTCAGCTGACCAAGCCAGCATCAAAAAAAATTATCCCCATTGAGCCCTGATCTCTGAAATAACATGTTCTAAAAATATAATGTATCATTTTCAATTAACTAACACGGTTGGTTGGCATGACACTTGAGACTGTACACCAGAAACGTGCTTTTGAGTTTAAAGTTGGAGCTAAATGTCAAATGAGTGCTAATATTTGCTCAAGACCTCATAAGAGGCTTCTCTGTGATATTAAACATCCCAGCAGTCTTATCCAATACAACACACCCGCCGCTCCGTTATCTCCATCCTCCTCTCTTCATTTGATTCCTCTTCTCTCCTTCATCTGATAGATTTGCCTTGGAGCCCCGTAGAGCAGTCCTTTTCATCTTTTTGTTTCTGTTTTTGAGGCTGTGTGTGAAATGAGGCACGCGTCTGAATCTGCACTTCAAGCTCTTTGAATATGAATAGCAAATGCACTCAAGCAGCTCTAGAACAAACAGCACGTAACAAGAATAAATTGACCCATTCAGAGCATCTCTGACTTCACTGACTAATGTGGCATCGTGAGGGAAGTGCGTAACCTCACCGTTCTGAATAAAGAAAAACTAGCGCACATAATTACTCGGCCCTGGACCTTCTGCATAGTTTGTCTTTTATAAATCATCATAATGACCTTGACCCTTTCTATAGGCCGCTGACCTCTGCGATTCACAGTCAGCCGATAAAACAAGAGCTGAAAAATCGGATTTACTGCTCGATTAATCTGACATGTT